AACTATCCTTATTTGCTGCTAATGATATGATCCTATACATAGAAAACCCAAGAGACTCAGCAAAGAGGAAGTAATAGAGATTTATCATAATGGCAGGATAAAATACCAACATCCAAAAATCTGTTGGATTTCTCTACACCAGCAAAGAGATTGCTGAAAAAGAAATAAGGAAATCGATACCATTTACAATACACAACAACAAAAAAAAACGCAAACCAAACTCACTGCTGTTGAGTTGATTTCGACTCATAACGACCCCTTCTTGGGTTTTCAAAGCAGTATCTCTATGGAAGTAGATTGCCAAGTCTTCCGAGGAGTGGCTGCTGGGTTTGAACTGCCAGCTTTCTGGTTAGCAGTCAAAAGTATTAGGCACTACGCCACCAGACCATTTACAATGTTGTTGTGTGCCGTTGAGTCGGACCCAACTCATAGCGACCCCTCCTTGGGTTGCCGAGGCAGTATCACTACATTTACAATAGCTACCAAAAAAGTAAAATACTTGGGAATAAATCTTACCACGGACACAAAAGTCCTGTAAAAAGGAAACTACAAAATGCTACTTCAAGAAACAATAAGAGATCTACATAAATGGAAGAACATACTATGCTCATGGATAGGAAAATTGCCAATTGTGAAAACGTCAATACTACCCAAAGCAATCTATACATTCAATGCAATCCCAATCCAGATCCCATCAAAATTCTTTAAGGATATGGAAAAACCACTCATAATTTTATATGGAAAAGAAAGAAATCTAGGATAAGCGAAGCACTATTGAAGAAAAAGAACAAAGTAGGAGGTCTCACCTTCCCAGATCTCAAAACCTACTATTCAGACACAGCCAGGTACTGGTACAACTGGAGACACACAGACCAGTGGAATAGAATTGAGAACCCAGAAAGAGATCCATCAACCTATGGTCAGCTCATCTTTGACAAAGGGCTGAAATTCATTAAACAGGGAAGAGATTGTCTCTTTAACAAATGGTGCTCGCAAGACCAGATATCCATTCACAGAAAAATGAAACAAGATCTGTACTTCACACCACACACAGAAACTAACTCTAGATGGATCAAAGACTTAAATGTGAAACCTAAAACTATAAAGTCCCTCAAGGAAAAAATTGGGGCAAATTTAGAGACCCTAATATATGGCTTATTAGACTACCATGCATAACCCAAAATTCACAAACAGCAGAATATAAACTAGATGAATGGGACCTTCTAAAAATTAAATTTTTATGTGCTTCAAAAGACTTTTCTAAAAGAGTAAAAAGAGAACCTACAGATTAGGAAAAAATATTCATCAACGACATATCTGACAAGGGACTTACCTGTAAAATTTATAGAAAACTTCAACACCTCAACATCAAAAAGGACAAACAATCCAATTAAAAAATGGGCAGAAGACATGAATAGACACTTCACCAAAGAAAATATTCAGGTGGCCAACAAACACATGAAGAAATGTTCACGATCATTACCCATTCCAAAAACCAAACTCACTGCCATTGAGTCGATTCGACTCATAGCGACCCCCCCTTGGGTTTCCAAGGTGGTATCTCTACAGAAGTAGATTGTCCAATCTTCCTTCCAAGGAGGGGCTGGTAAGCAGTCAAATGTCTAAATCAAAACAACAATGAGATACCATCTTACCCCAGCACTAATGGCAAAGTTCAAGAAGACAGAAAATAACAGATGCTGGCAAGGATATGAAGAGATTGGGACTCTCGTAAACTGCTGGTGGTAGTGTAAAATGATACAACCACTGTGGAAAGCAGTATGGTGATTCCTTAAAAAGTTGGAATTAGAAATACCATTTGACCCAACAATACCATTACTAGGTATATATCCTAAAGAAGTGAGAGCCAGGACAAGAACAGATATATGCACATTCATGTTCAACAATAGCAGAAAGATAGAAACAACCTAGGTGCCCATCAACAGAAGAATGGACAAGCAAACTATGGTATATATACACACAATAGAATACTGTGCAACCCAAAAGAATAATGTTGGGAGTAGAATCTGCAAAATACCACATAAGATGGATGAACTTAGAGAACCAATCCCCCGCCCCCAAAAAAAACCCACCTTACTGCCATTGAATCATTTCCAACTCATACCAACTCCCATTGGGTTTCTGAGCCTGTAAATCTTTATGGAAATAGATTGCCTATCTTCCTTCTGTGGAGCAGCTAGTGGGCTTTAACTGCTGACCTTCCAGTTAACAGTCAAATCTTCATCCACTACACCACCAGAGCTCCTTGGAGGATATTATGCTGAGTGAAATAAATCAGTCACCGAAGGACAAATATTGTATTAGTCTGCTATTACAAAAAGTCAAGGAAAGGTTTATATGTGGAAGGAAACTTTCTTTGTTGGTTACCAGGGATGGGAGAGGAGGGGAGGGAACACTGTTAGACAGGTAGAGACAAGTATTGATTTGGGTGAAGGGAAGGGCCATGTACCAAATATGAGTGATCAGCATGGTGGCATCGAGGAAGAGGAAGACATAGAGAGGTACATGGGAGGTGCAGACAACAAAGATGAACCCTTTTGCACATACAGTACTGCATTGTCAGTGATGGCAAACATTGATATACAGGTGGACAGATGGGTAGACAGGCTGAACCATCAGGTATATTAGGCAGGGAGGAGTGTGTCCATGACCATATATAGGATTGGCGGATGATGTTTCTACAAGTGTATTTGTATGTTCTGTAAGAATGTCCAGGTATACAGTAGAGCTGACAAGAGACAGTGTTGTGGTGATTGTGGTGACTTCTTGGCCAGCTACCCAGAGGGAGTGAGTGGTTGGACCTATGGACTCAGGACCATAGTTGCAGGGGGCATCAAGCTCAATTGGCATAACATACTACACAAAACATTGCTCCACATCCTACTTTGGTGAATAGTGACCGGGATCTTAAAAGCTTGCAAACGGCCATCTAGATGCAAAGATGCATGTCTCCTCATCCAGAGCAAAGAAGAATGAAGAAAACTAAAGACATATGGAAACAATTAGTCCAAGGGACTGGTAGAGTATTCAATCCTCAGCCTATATGACCATGAGACCAGAAGAACTAGATGGTACCTGGCTACCACTGTCAACCACTTGGAAGGGGATCTTTGTAGGAGATCCTGGATAAAGTGGGAAAACAATGTGGAACAAAACTCAAGATTACAAAAAAAAAAAAAAAAGACCAGGTTTGCTGGTCTGATAGGGCCTGGAGAAACCCCTGAGACTATGGCCCCTAGCTGCCCTTCAGGTCTGGAACTGAACTCACTCTGGTGGCTTCCAGCCAAATAAAAGACCAGCATATGGGCTGAACATTTACATCAGGAAGATACACTCCTTGGAGAGATAAAACATTTGAGAACAGAAGGGCAGTGAGACACAGGGAGACCACTCAGGGGGCAGGAGTGCATGGGAGGGAAGTACACAGGGAAGAGGTAACTATGGGAGGAAGTGGGAAGAAAGCTGTTAAATTATGGGGAATTGCAGTCAATGTCATGAGACAAAATGTGTATGAACTGCTATATGGAAAGTGAAATTGCTCTGTAAACTTTCACCCAAATCACAATAAAAATAAAAAATACAAATTACAGGGTCTTTGATAGCTACTGGGATTTCCCTCATCAGAGCTGTATGTGAGATACATTGTTTCATTTGCAACCTGTGACAGGCACCTGTGAAATGATTAACAGGATCCAGTAGAGTTGTAGAATATCCAATGACAACCAGAAATATAAGTAACAAAAGATGACTGTGAGACAAACTATTCTCTAAGAGATACATTTTTGAGACAGATAATCAATTTATTAGGACACTCAACAAATTTATGCAAAGGGCACTTTTTTAAAAATTAATTTTAAACCAATTAAAGGATAAATATCAGACAAGGTTCCTTAATAATTTATATGTTATTAATGGTGTCTTTAGATTTTTTCAGCCAAAAAAACCTAATAAAAAGCCTATAAATCCTGCAGATATAGAAACAATTTTCAAAGAATCATATTAACGAGAAGTGATGACTCAGGTATGATACTGCTTACGAAAGGGATTGGACAAAATCGGCTTTCAAAATCCTTACCAGGATACTAAGAATAACTCTCAAGACAGGGGTGGTATTTTGTGTGTGACTCTTCTGTCTATTATCTCTCCAAAAATGACCTTCCAATGGGATCTGATCCAAACTTCTCCCCAGTAATGCTTCCACACTAGTGGCCTGAACCTTTGTCACCAACAAGTCCATGTAAGCTTGGACTTAGCATCTACGAATATTAACCTCACATTCCATCTCACTCCACAGAAACAAATAGTGCACACAATTCACATATTTTGTGAGGTTCATTATTTCTACTTCAGTTCATGACACAACCACTTGCTGGCAAAAGCACTAGCAAACTGTGCACTTCATAGCTGTCAATATACCTCCATTCTCTACCATGCCACCAATTGGCTACAAAGATTTCAAGGTTCGGTGATTATAGGATTTAAATGATTTTAACCCCTTTAAATTTGCAAATTCTTTAAATCCTATTATCTCTGCAGCCACTCTGAATTTTAAAATGAGCTTGGCCTTTTCCAGCTCCAGGTCTAAGGATTACAGAGTTTTAGAGAGTTTAAATGCTTTTCTAAAGTTCTATAAAGAGTTGTCCCTAACTAGTTGACCTCCAAGAAATAAAACCAGCCACTTTTTCAGCTCACAACTGCTGATCAGAGTTTCTAAATGGAAAGATATGTGTGTTATGCCACAAACCACCAGGAAAACAGGTGATTGCTTCCTCAACTCCATGTGAGCCAAGTGAGTCAGAAGATTTGATATAGGAGGTAGTAGGTTTTTGACATGTGTCAGTGAATGTCTAAGAATGAGAAAACAGATGATGTTGTCAGGGACCCAAAGAAGCTCACTGGGGCTGAGGGGGTGAGTTTCTGAAAGAAAAGCCATTACCGTGGATACCCTCCTAACCCTAGGTAACCCTCAGAGGTCTTACCTCTTGCGTCCTCACATTTATGTATCCATAGTGAGTCCGAAGGGGCCGTCTGTATGTGTAGGAGAATGGAATCCATTTTGCACCAGGTTGTCCAAAACAGTTTAGCAACAGTGGGAAATTCACCTCATTTACAAGGCGCACAACCAGCAGGAAGAGGAATGCTGCTATGAAGCTCACGGCAATCACAGACTTTCTCTACAAAACATTCAAAAAGAAGAAGAATGAATGACTTTCAACCAAAAGCAGTCACACAGGAGGTTTCTTTTTGCTCTCAAAGAGATCAAAGGATTCTATCATTTAGGATATTTCACTTACAGACAAAACACGCTCATTTGGTGACCAGGTTGCTTAGTATGCTGGGCCAAACTGAGCAGCTTTCTTGCATTATCCTTCTTTTCTATCCCTATACTTTCTCACCTCCCTACCTTCGTTGAAAACTCCTATTCAGTTTCCAAAACCTGAATCAGATATTGCCAACTCTAGGGAGCCTTTCCCAACTGCTTAATCCCTTCTACACCAAAAATTCAATGTAGGTGGAAGGAACAGAACTTGACTACTGATTGGATGGAAGTGGCAAACAGAAAATCCAGAAATGCCTGAGATTTTGAGTGGAGGTGGCTGCAATAAGCTGGTCATATCAGGAAACGCCAGGGTATTCAGAGCAGGGACTGATCTAAGAGTAAGAAGGTAAAATCCTTGGCTTTCTAGGTATTAATTTAGAGGACCGGTGGCTTATCTAGGTGGAGCTATCAAGGAATTAGATGGAAGGTCAAGCCTAGAGTGAGAAAGACAGGAGAGCTGAAAGCAGACCTCAGAAAAAAATTTTGCAATGAAGTTCAGGGTGAAGACATTATGAAATATTCATTCATGAACTTGAGATTGGCACTGATTTATCTTCAAACTTAAGAAAAGTCAAATAACTTTTTAGTAATGACTGATTTTTTTTTTTTTTTTTTTGGCAGCATTCCACTACCTGATTAAAGAAACTTCTTTTTACTCTTCACAGAAATTCCCTAGGGAGACAGAAACCCAAAACCAGCATCTGTTTCCTCCCTGAACCCAGGGTCTCAGCCTCTGAAAAGGCAGCAGAAAATGACTCTAGAACTCCATGGCATCTAAAGGAAGTCTTTGTTCCTGCTCAACTTCCATAATTTGTACAAGGCCCACCCCTCCATCTAGCCAGCCTAATTTTCCAATCACCTGGAAGTCCCTTGAGCTCTGTCTCCTCAAAATCCTCTTCTCACCACTAACTACCACAGCCTTACCTCATTTAACCTTCTAATCATGAAAAACCATTTTAATTTGCTCCTCTGTGGCATCATTATGTCCACAACATTGCAATGTGTCAAGGTAACAGCTTAAATAAAGTGATGGATCTTACAGGTTCAAAGGGGCATAGACCAAAACAGATGGCTAAATAAAAGCAAAGAGGCCAGTCACCCATTAAGTAAATAGGTAAGAACTTTTTTTTTTTTTCCCTCACATAGCCATCCAGTAGCTTGTTGCAAAATAGCCATTTGCTTTGAAGGAGACCCAGATGGGATTTGTGCCTTTGTCTGTTCCAGAGCCCAGCATGGTTTCTGGGTCTCTTGGTTGCTGCATTACATTGAATTGCTGGGGGCTTGGGGACAAAGGCATGGAGGGCCTTTCTGAATCCTGATCACAAATAGCAACACATACATAATACACACATAAAGGTTAAATAAATCAACCATTTTATCAGATACTTCAAAGTGGAATGCAATCATAGTTGAAAAAGCCTGCTCCCTGGTAATCCTTGTCTGCATCCCATATTCTATCACAGGGAACCAAGTAATGAGCACAGAGAGGGTAAGGGGGACAAACAGTGAGCAGAGGCCAAACTCAGACTCTTCTGAGTCCTGCCTGGAATTGTATCCAGCAGCGAGAAGACACATCCCCCTTATAGCTCAGTTTTCCAGACCAATTCTGTTTTGTTGCCTAGCCCAGATTCTTTTCTTCTTGTTTCTTTTCTTTTTTTTCCCCCAGCATGAAAGTGTGGCACATTCTGTTCTCCAGAGGTCAAGGAACACAGAACCAAATATGTACATGCATTCTTCCAGGAATCACTTACATCACATCATGATCTTAAGCCTCAACAACTATAACTAAAACCATGGAAGAGGTAGATACAAGTCTAGAGACACCTTAATGCAGTGAGAAGGAGGATATGTGTGTGCATGTATAGGTATATGTTTGTGTGTGGTAGGGATATGGGAGCTGGAAAAGAGAACAAAGGATTGATGGTATTCATGAATGGATCCATTCCATTGAGTCACATTAACTCACTGAGTTTGTACTTTCTATATAGCACTTGACTAGGTACTGAGAAACAGAAATAAAACCCTAAGAGTCATGAACATGCTTCCAAAGAGCTCATGGTTTAGTGCAACTGACAATTAAATAGAAAAATATAACACCGTATATCAAAAGAGATAATGAAGGTATGCACAGGGCACTGTAGGGACCCAGAAAAGGGATGGGGGGTAAGTTGGGGAAGCAACAATCCAGGAATGCCCTGAGGAGATGGTATTCAAATGAAGTCCTAAAGATGAGGAGTGAGTGGAGAGAATAACGGAACAGCTTTCCAGGCAGAGGGATCAGCATTTGCTAAGGAATAAAAGTTTGAAAGGCATGATTTTGTCAGAAACCTACAGTCATTTGGTAAGAGGGGTGTGTGGCAGATGATGATGATTGGGAAATAAACAGGCTTCAAGTCATAAGCAAATAATAAGCCACAAAAATTAAGCCATATAAAATAATCAGTCTTGTCAACTTTACATTAAACAATGAAAGGACAAACTCATAAAAGTGTTGTGTTTTATAATTTAAAAATATTCTTCACTATCTAATCAAGTGAAAATGTATCACTCACTCAATTTTATTTGAAACCACCATTTAACACACCACAAAACATTGTTCCCAGTTGTCTGACTTATTCCATCAATAAATATGTTCCATCAGTGGCTTGTTCTAATAACTGTTTTGAGTCCATCAACACTCAGCAAGTTAGAGGACTCTACCTGTGTACATGTTTTATGCCTAACAGTCTGTTTATAAAAGTGATCATCACTGCATTTATTGAAATACTCAGTGCACCAAAAGGAGGCTCATCTGTTCGATTCAACAACCAATAATTAGGTTCAAGAAAACAACCTTAAGTACTCGTGAAGTTTATAATGTATAAGATTTGACTCAATAAATATTTCATTCTGTAAAAAACAAATATAACTTTAGTAAAAACTTGCTTACTTAAGGTAAGTGTCAACATTAAATGAAACGTTAAAGGAGCACAGTCAAGGAACAGAGTGAGCACTCAAGAAACAGAAGATGTTATTATTATGATATAATTACTAATTGTCAGATCCTTGGTGGACATTCACCAGCTCACATGAAAGCATGATAAGAACTAGAGATATAGTTTCCTCAAATATTCAAAGCAGCTACAAACTCTTGAACTATTCAGTGCAACTTATCCACACACACTTAGAGAGCATATCAGTGAGCCCAAATACATCTGATTAATTGCTTTAGGAAAAGCTTTTTCCTTCTTTGTTCTTCATTTTGGGCAAGTCTGAAGATGCCTTCAACAGCTGAGATATTTAGAATCTAATCCCCTCTGTGCTGCAAAAATATGCATCAAAAATGCGGCATTCTACTTATCTGTTCTTTAGAGTTGGAAAATCATTTATCAGACTTTATAGCAGAGATACATATTTCAAAATAAAACGTACTGAGAATTCGTGATTTTGGAAAAGGACATAATTACAGAGATTTGGACCTATAAAAATTTGCAAGTTTTATTAATATTCATATGCTTGTATTCTTGTACAATTGAATTAGTCTTTAACCAGTTAGTTGCTATATTTTTTGTTTTCTTTTTCATAAATGATAACCAATAGTATAAAGGTGAATTTTTCTCTTTAAATAGTATTAATTGATGGCTGAACTAGTTGTTTACCAAGGTAAAACAGTGTATACTTATGTCCATATAGTCATTTAATAAATAATGAATATGAAATAGTGTCTGTTGTATTATTTATATCAATGCTTAATTATCTCACCTATTAATGAGTTCCTACCATTGCTTATTTGTGATCTTATCAAATTCTGATTCTTCTTCCAAAAAAAAAGTGGTATTATTAATGTAGTTCTACCTTGTGCCATTGGCCAGGTTCCAAATATAGTTCTCCTGGAATAAAATAAAGGCACTTCCCATTTTCACAAGGATGAATTAGCAAAACTTAGAGTATATAACTAAACCTTCATTGCTTTGCTTCATCTACTGAATCAACAATTTATTTGGATTCTGCTCATTAAACAAAAGTGAACTCTGGGGAAATTTTACTCATATTTGGGGATAGGAAAGGGGAAAAATGGATAATAAATAGGTGTGAATTCCTGGATAGGTTGAGAAAACACAATAGCTTATCATGGGCAGTCTTAAGAGGCATAGCTGGTTATAGATTCATTGTTGATGTTAAAAAGAGTAGTGGATGTCAAACAAGGTCAACATGAGAGAATGAACAATCATGTCAGAATCCAGGAGGCTTCTGAAGAAGACGTGATAAGGTAAAAGAAATAGATTTTGTGAATAGGCTTTCAAAAGGGCAGAGAGTGTGGAAATGAAGAGGTAGGAAGGGATCCAGTCATAGAAGATCTTGCATGTCATTCCAGGAGTCTGAACTGAAACTGCAGAATCCGAAGAAGGAGTCTATATGTGGATAGACAGGATCAGGTATGATTTTTAAAACTCAGATTGGAGGTGGTATGGTCAATGGATGGAAGGTGCACAAAACTCTTTTGGAAAAGATAATGACAAGAGTAACAATGGACCATCTTGTCAAACACCATGCACTGACATCTAATTGTCAGTATGAAAATGCAATTGCTACTGTGGAGATTGGCTCTTCTTCTCCTAGTAGTGGGACCGGGAATAAAATGTTGGTGAGTGTGTATGTATGACTACTAATCATAATCTTAACAAAAGATAATACTTACAAAGTGTTATCAGTTGGAGTAATATTTATATAATCTTTATTGTCCAAAGCAATAAGAGGTATAGAGAGGTTAAGCTGCTTACTCAAGGTCACACAGTAAGTAAAGGGTAAAGGTTCTAAACTCAGATTTATGCAGCTTTAGTGTATAAATTGTTGTTGTTAGTTGCTGTTGAGTTGGCCCCCAACTCATGGCAACCTCCTACAGAAGAGAACAAAGCACTGCCTAGTCCTGTGCCAACCTCATGATCAGTGGTGGTTTGGAGAGATGTGACCCACAGGGTTTTTACTAGCTGGTTTTCAGAAATCGATCACCA